GCGGCCGCCTCCTTCCGCGCTGCGTCGACGTGCCCCGGAGCGTTCACCCACCTGCCCCGACCAGGCCCACCCGATGCGGCGCGCCCGGCCTTTCCGCTGCCTAATAGGAGGGGTGCCTTTCCCTCTTCCCTCTTCCCAGAATTCTTCCCCTTCCCTCTTCCCTCTTCCACCTCCCACTCTTCTGCGGCCTCAATCGCAGCAAAACCACAACACCAAGAGAACCACCATCGACCACAAACCAGCGACGATGGCCGGCGCGTCGCTCAACCAAGACGCTGGCCAGCCGTCGCCTGCACCGTCGCCCGCGTCGCCCGCGTCGCTGTCGCCCTTGGCCGGGGCTTCCGCGACGGCCACTACCGGTGGCACCGGTACCACTAACAATCCCGCCGCTCCCAGCCCCGCCCAGCCCAAGGCAGAGAAGACCAAGGCCAAGGGCAAAGACAAGAAGAAAAAGCGAGACCTCGACGACAAAACGCGTAAGTACCTCTTCTCCGTCGTCGAGACCGAAGCCTCGCGGCCGCATACGCCCTCGGACCAGGGGATTGTGGTCGAGGAGCCCAAGAAACCGCGCAGGCCGAGGTCGAAGGGGACGTTGCGTGCGGATACGGACTTTGAGGATGCTGTTCCGACTTCCCGCGCTGCTGCTGCGCCGGTGAGTGCTTCGGTTGGTGCTTCTGCTTCGGTTGGTGCTGCTGCGTCTGCTTCGGCTGGCAGTTATGGCCATGATCACGGCAGCGGGGTTGGCTACCCTGTGCCGGATCCGGCTGTTGCGGCTGCTGTTGCGGCGACGGCTGCACAAGTGATTGAGCAGTCGGGAGGGGTGAGGGGGTTGCTGGGCCCGCCGATGCCGAGTCCGGGCACGGCGGAGTTTATGGAGGGGATTCATGCGATGAATCTGTTGGCGGCGGAGGATGATTTACATCCTGCTCAGAAGGTGAGTCTTCTTTATTCTCTCTCTCTCTCTCTCTCTCTTCTCTCGGTTGTCCCGACATCCCGGCATCCCGGCATCCCGACTTGTTTAACTCTGTATCATATCACCGACTGACCTCTCAAGATGCATCGCGACCAAATCTGCGACCTTCACCAACGCCTCTGCGGATTCCGCACCAATCTCCGACAACAACCAGGCGTCACAGTATCGTTTGTCATCTCGTTCGACACCGACCTCCAGGGCATCATGATCAACACGGCGCAGATGAACCGGTTGGTTGACGACCTGGCGCGCGAACTGCACGCGGCGCGGGGTGTGCAAGAGCGGGTGCGGGTCCTCGAGGAAGTGCTGCGCGAGCGCGAGGAGGAGATCAGGGACTGGAAGGCGCGCTTTCAGAATGCTGAGAAGACGCTGGCGAGTTTGGCGGGGCGGGCTGAGGAGGATTTGAAGGCTCTTCAGGTATTTTTCTCCTCTTTCCTCTTTTCTTTTTGCTTCTGTTTCTGTTTCTTCCTTTACCTCGAACACTCCCTCTGCTTCTTCCTCCGTCTGTACCTCCATCTCTAAACCTCAGAAGAAAGAGAGACAACATGACGAAGAGAAAAGCTAACGTTTTTTCTCCTTCCGCGCAGTATCTCAACGAGAAGGTCCGACACCTGGAGATGGCTCGCACCGTAAGTTTTATCCCAATTCTTGTCGACTTCCTGCCAAAACACCACCAAGAAAAAAAATAAAACAAAAAAACACCCACAAAACAAAACAAAAGCCAGACGAAACCTAAAACCCAAAACACCACCACTAACTTTCTCTCTACAGATCCTCCAAGACCAAGTCAACGGCAAACGCAGCCTTTGGCTCAAGTCCGAGGAGAAGGCCGAGAAGGAGAAGCCGTCGTCCTCCCAAGCCGTGCCGAGCAACAACGCCGGCACCATCAACAACAACAACGAGAACCCCCGCCCGCCCAGCCACCTCTCGTCAGAAACCCACCCGGCCGTGACCGATCTCTCTGGGAGCATCCTCTCAGAGAGTGGCCGCTCGGGTGGGAGCATCCTTTCGGGGAGTGCGCCCTCCTTTCGCTCGGCTTCGCAGGCCAGTGGTGCTGGTGCTTCCGGTGCTTCGGCTTCGGTTTCTGGTGGCTCCCGGCCTGCTTCGTCACAAGCCGGTGGTAGTATCATCCAGCCCATGCCGATTCCCCTTCCGATTCCGGCGCATTTTGTCGGGATGATGGGAGCGGGATCTTCTTTGGGTGGGAGTCGGCCTGGGAGTGTTGTTTCTGGTGTTTCTGGTGGTGTTTCCGGGGGCGTTGCGCCGAGTGTTGTTTCGCAGCATTCGGCTGGGGGTTCGGTTGCTGGTCCTGTTGGCGGCCCGATCTTCTACCCGAGTCCCGTCCCCTTTGTCCCTGGCTACGGCCCAGTCCCGATGCCGATGATGCCCATGCCAATGGCCATGCCTAGTGTTGGTCACGGTCCTGGCCCGTTCAAGCCAATCCCGATGGTCGCGCACCCGCAGGCAGTCTTCCCGGGTCAGCACTATCCAGTTCAACCAATGCCTCACGCGGTCCCGGTTCATCCAGCTCGCACGGTTTACTCAGCCCAACCGGTTCAACAACAGTCGTACCCCCAGCCGTACCATTCGGCCCGCTCGTCTCAGGGTCCCTCGACCACCAACAGCAGCCAGAGCAACAGCCAGAGCCAAGGTCACAATCAGGGTGTTCACAACACCAGCGACGCCGACAACTCGGAAACCAGACTATCAACCGCCTCATCCCGCCGTCGCGACCCGACCAAGCGCACCGTCACTGACCAAGGCAGTCCCATCCAGCGCGGCAGACGCCACTACCCCGGCGGTCCCCCCACAGCCGACGAGGACCTAACCGATATGTTCACCGACGACGCCGATGAAGACACCTCCTCCAACACCAGGCCGGCCGCCATCGCAGCCAAACCCTTACCTTTCCCCGCTGTGCCGCGCGGTATGCCCTTCCGCATGCCCGTCCCCGCGCTCGTGGAGATTGACCTGGCCGCGTGGGAGGATGACTTTAGGTCGTTGTACGCGCTGGTGTATGGGTTTTGCGCGACGTATTTTCACGATTTGCCTATTCCGCCTGTCTTGAGGCAGCAACTCAGTATTGGGGGGCATTGGTATGGTGGCGCTTCTACCACTGGTACTGCTGAAAACAAAGGGAACGACAACGAGAGCGAGGCCTGGCTGCGGGAGCTGCGCTCGGCGTCGAACGGTCAGGTCTGGGATTACATGTGCAGTGTGTGTCGCACGGTGACGGCTGTGTCCGAGGAGGCTGGACCGTCGACTAGGTCATCGGCTAGACCGTCGTCTCAGTCGTTCAAGTCGGCGTCGTCGACTACCAACACCTCAGCGTCTGCGAAGAAAGGACCCCGCAAGAACGGGGTTGAGCCGGCCATGCGACTGCTGCGTGACCGCCACGCCCGGGTCTACCTGCTGCAGCGCATGATTGTGCAGCATTTGGTCATTCTGGTGTGTGGACATGATGGATGGAAAGATTTCTCCGGTCCGGTGGATGGGGAGATGAAGAGTTTGGAGGCGTTCTTGGCCAATCCGGGTCGTATGTTTCCCTTTCTATTCCCTTTTCTCTTCTCCCCCATACCCCCATATATGGTATCTTCTTACCCGTAATCATGCTAACCGCTGCCAATAGTCACCCCCGTATCCCGCCAGGCCGCCCTCACCCGCCGCGCCGAGCTCATCACCTCCGTCCTAGAGGCTCCCAGCGCAGCCTCCTTCCGCCACCGCAAGCTCAATCAGCACAACCACCAGCTCAAAGCCCTCATGCGGCCCTTCCTAACCCTCAGCGCCCAAGCCAAGTCCCTTGGCGCCCACAACCATACCAGCAACCCTACTAACTACAACCCTACCAACAACAACCCTACCAACAACAACCCTACCCGCATCCACCCCGGCACCGTCAGCGGCAACGGCAGGGCCTCCTCCCCTTCATCACAAAGCAACTCCAGCAACAGCCTCAGCACAACAAGCACCACCAGCGCGAGCGCCGCTTCTTCCGAGTTCCTCGACGAAGCCTTCTACGATCTGCACGCAATCACCACCGCCGCCTGGGACTTGTCCACCCGCCTCATGCAAGCCAAAGCCGACTTCCACTTCATCTGGAGCGACATCGGCACCAAATTCGCCGGTAAACCCAAACAGCCTGCTGCAAACCCCGGTGCTCATGGTAACACGCCCAGTCCGTACAGTGACAACAACGGTAACACGCCCGAGATCCATGAGGCGCTGGCGTGTTTTTCCGTTGGGGCCAATATGCAGAAGGTGGAGAAGATGGAGAGGAGGGATCGGGAGTTGGCGGTTGTGAGGCTGTGTGTGACGCCGTTGGTGACGGTGCGGAGTGATGGGCAGATGAAGCTGGGACCGGAACATCAGTTGTTGGGGAGTGAGGAGGGCAGTTTGACGGTGGTGAAGGCGGGTGTCTTGGCTTTGGTGCCTTAGCTTCTGTGCCTTGGTGTCTTGGGGTACCTTAGGGTGCTTCTGTGTCTGGTTTGTTGCTTTTCTTTCGTTTCGTTTCGTTTCTGTTTTCACTTCGGTTTGTTACTGTTTTCTCTGGGGCTTGTTTCTTTCGGCCTTTTTACGACCGGCCTTTACACGACAGTCCCCCGTTTCATCGACACGACACAAGTTTCGTTTCGAGGACTTCCTTTTGAGGACTCCATTTCGACAACTTCAAAATCCCCGCTCTTCTGCTTCTTCGCCGCATATCGTTTCCCTTTTCTTCAACAGTCGACCAGGGAAGCAAGGTTCCCATCTCGACACTGTTCAATCATTACTGCGAAACTACGAAAACCACGAAACCACGAAACCACCAAACCAGCTCGAAAATACAAAACCACACAAAAAAAACTCGAAATGACAAAACCGACAAAAAAAAGCACAACACAGAGGAAGAAGGCCGGTCCAGCCATACAGAGCAGTCCGAGGCCATGTCTCGAGGGTTGGGCACCCCCAGACACCGGCATCGCTGCTGCTCTGTTTCACAGAGACCTCACTCACTCACTGACTCACCGAGTCAACTCACCCGGCGACCAGTCACCAGCCATACCAACGCTAGACCATGACAACACTCGCCAAGTTGTCACGGAACGGCACAAAGGAAGGGGGTAAAGAGAGCAGGATTAGAGTGGGAGGATAGGATACAAGACGGCCTCGCCATCCGTTTTGGGTCTACTTTCTCTCATTCTTTCTCCGTCTCCCTCATTTTCTTCTTTCGTTCTGCCCTTCTCTTTGTGAGCAGGGTCATCAACGATTTATTTCGTTCGTTGTTTGCCTGTCTTGTTTGCAAGACAAGCAAGGACTTGTATTCCGCCATTTCAGTTTCATTTTCTGTTTTCATTTCATTTTCTGCTTCACGATGTTCTACGATGCTTTACGATGTTTATGACGTTTTACGACGCTCCACGATATCACGATTCAACCCGACTAGGTCTCGTGTTTTTATGTTTCTCTGTTTTAGTGCTTTAATGTCTCTCCGTTTCTCAGTTTCTGTTGTTTTCCTTTTCACACTTCAGTCAAATTGTCCATTTGAGTTGACTGAACTAAACCCAGTCGACATAGGCCAGCTAGCCATAGCCAGGCTAGGTCGGGTCAGTTCAGTTCAGTCCCTGGTTCCGGCTAGCGGGACTCTCTGTTCCTGTTTGACCATTTGAACCCTGACTGGCTGATCGATGGTCATACTGACTGACTGACTTACTGACTAACGGATTTATGGTCTGATGGTCTGATGGACGGACGGACTGATGAGCTCTCCCATCCTTTGGTCTACCCTCGAGGTAGACACACACCCGTCTCATCCACCCACCAACTTTATTACCCCGTCCATCCTTTGGATGGACACCCGCACCTTCTCTCTTTCTGCTCTCTGCTCATTCTGTTTGGTTGTCTCGCTCGGAACGGAGGGGATACATCTAAGGAGGAATATGGAAGGAAACATGCTGAGAACTATGTTGAGGGACATACGGAGGAATCAGGGCAGCGGTAACATATCCAGGAACCGGTCGGACCAGGGAAAGGATGGTATTCCGGAGTTGGCGGGTCAGGTCGCCATTCTGCTGGGAGATGACACGAGAGATACGGTTTGATGGAGGCCACCAACATCCACCGTCAACCTCTCTCCCTTTTTGTGGCCTTCTTCACCAGCTCAGTTCTGATGAGGGGGGGGATACAGTGTATGTCGAGCGTAGTGTAATACCAGTAACATTTTTTACAAACTTGGTTGTCTCGCGTGAGTGTGTACGCGCGCGCATGCTTGTGAGTGTATTTGTGTAGTGTATGTGCGGATAAATTCCAAGTGACCGACTAACTAACCAACTGTTGAGTGATTGTGTACATAGTAATTGAGTGAATCTCTCCGCCCGAATGCCGGAACTCGATGCGATGATCTACAACCTCCCACACCCTCCCACACCCTCCCCCACGCCCGTCCCTCCTATTCCAACCTAAAATCCTACCTTGAAAACCAACCTAAAGTGTGCATGTGATGATTATGACGTTGCCCTCGCCATTTAGTCGGATACATTTCTTAATACTAGCGCAAACCGCGGAAGAAGAAAAGAACATATATGCAAGGGAGGGATAACAAGAAGACTCTCGAAAAGCGGATGACGAAGTAAGGTGACGTGATAAACCCCCGAAACACCCAAAGTCTACCCGGTTTTCTGGTGTGGTGTATATGTGCGTGTATGTACGTACAATAAACCTAGGTGTTCACATCTCTACCTATTTCACCCGGTCTATCCCTCATCACGCTTTTCCACGATGTCCACTACAGTGTCGTAGGCACGGTTACCCTCCCTTCTCGAAACAACTCTGCTCCACTCCGAGTGAGACGCCGTTGAAGTCCGCGTGATGTTGCATCGAGAACCCCCCTTGTCATGGTGCAAGTGTACCTCCCCCTCCTACACTACACAACGAGTCGCTCTCCACTGCGATGAGAAGCGTAATTAGGGGTCGGTGGTCAAGTGCGGTTCTCCATGTCTGAGGTATACAGACGGGCTGACCATTTCCCATGTCTGGTGAGCGCTGTGGGTTGTTGAGCTAGGTTCATGTGGGTTGAGCGAAATGAGAGGGTCTTCTGGACCCGGGGAATAGTACCTGTTGCGTACTATGTATGTTTAAACGGAACACGCGGGAATGACTCGTAGCTCTAGCATTTCTACTCGGGCACGAGTCCTGTCTCCCAGACGAGCCGGCGACGAGTTCCTACACTTGCAAGCTTGCACCCGGTTTTCGATAATCCGAAAACCGGAACCACCTAGGTGAACTTCCCTTGTTGATATCTTTCTTGTCATCCCCGTGTAGCAACCCCCGGAACCAAACGCCAGTGACGACATCTAAACCTGTTATATTCCAGGAAAAAGAACCCCCTCCTCCCCGCCTCGGAAGTCCAGAAAAAAGCATAGAAAACTGAGGGACGTCCCGCAGCTGTGATGTTGCATGCGGGGTGCCGCGTGCATTCTCTTTACCTCCCCACATGTTTTACTAGTCCATGACATGACATTCTCCAACATACAGCCCGCCCTCCCTGAAAAGACATGCTTGAATATAGAGACGACGGACGCACGGGATGCCGAAATACAAACGGGGAGACGGACCTAGTGACCGATCATAACCGTGAGCTTCTTTTCCGGTCTGGGTTGACTCTTGAGCAGGAATCATTCGACACCGCGGGGCGTGAGACAAACATGCAGGTTTGACCAAGACAGCTCCCGCCAAGCTAGAAAAAAAGAAGATCAAAATCAAGAGTGTGAAAGCCGTTGCGGATGATCATGTTTCTTGTGAGAGCGACGATCCCCGATCGCGGAGCTGCTCGATCATCCCAAGCAAGCCCTTCCCTCTTGTGTATGCAACTTTTTTATCTTTTCTCGCCTCTCGCATACACACCAAGCCGCCGAGGTGTTGCAAAAACCCAGTCTAATAAATTGGCTGGGGTAACACCCGAACATCATCGCTCTTGATCTCGGGTGGGAGAAGAAAACTCCAGGGTTGCACAACGCAACTCTGTCGCGATCAAAGCTCAGACAGCTTGATAGCCTACCGTGCCTACCCGCTGAAAGTAGGGACTCGCAGTGGGAGATCTGCGCCATGCAGGGTGGAGTAAAAGCCGCGGCGGAATTCCCGTTGCGCCCGCATAACGCTAACTTCCCCGCAAGGAGGAGAAGCGGAGCTGCTGTTGTTGGAGTGTAAGTGGGAGTTTCAGGAGTCTCATTGACCAGTTGTGGGAGCATCGAGCATCGAACAGACCCCGCCACAATGCATCAATCGTCCTCCCTCCTCCAAATGCCTCGCTCAAATCGCAGCAGAGAAACGGCGATAGACTTGATCGTTAGAAAGGCGGCAAAACACCAACCCTCCCTCCCAACTCGGAACAAAGGGGCAAAAAGGAGTCACCAGACCCAGCACCAACACCCTCTTCGTCCCTTCTCAAACCCGAGCTGCCCGGACTCAGCCACAGGTGGTTTGTCGGGAGAGGGAGTTCTCCTCGGAACTCATAACTCAACTCACCCCTTTCCAGGCTCTGCGACATCAAGTCAGTCACTCACAACCCAGATTCACTGACCTTGAACCCCTCTCAGCCAATCATTCCCAAATGTCAAGCCACAAGCCACCGCCTGAATCATCACCACACCACACTATAGACACCAGTAGCCAGAACAAAGAGCCCCTTTCCCAGAAGTCCTGACACCACCACAGACACCACACCTCCTCCCAAATTGGCGTAGCTCTCCTAACATGTCTCACAATCCTTCTTTCTTTGATCAACGCGATAACGAGAGCGAGTGAGATTCCGGTCTCGATCTCGATCGGGCGAAAGCCGGGTTTTACGAGAGACAAGATGGGAATCCGGTGTGGTAAGTTACCGGTGGTGGGTGTGGTGTAAATCGGGAATCTCCTGCTACGAGGAGTCATTGGCGAAGCCCAAGGAGAGACTATTGATACTATTGATCGTGCCTGTGGGCATGACCATACTCGTGATCGGGTTGGTGGCTCACGAGCCGATTTGGCGCGATCGAGTCTTGGTCCGATTGCTTAGAGCCGCTACGATTAACTAGTGTAAGACGGCGATTTGACATGCGGGTGGTCTGGCTCTGACGTTATTTCGGTGCAGTGAACAACAATCGTCGAAGCCAAGCACGAGCAACTCTCTCAAACAATCCTGGTTGGCGTCAAAGACTTGCGGGTCAATCGCTTCCCTGTCGGGTTGCACTCTGCATCTGTGAGTCGTCCAAGTTAGAAGGATTACCCTCATGCAAGCCGATTAGATCCCTCCCGTTCGTCCCTCTCAAAGATAAGCAACCAGGCTCGCAGGCAAACCACGCATAATTCCGAAACCCAAAGGGCCAACACGCTGTTGATCTCGCTGCCCAGTCGACGATCACCGTCGCTGACAAGCTTGTTTCTTCCTTTCCTGAGCTGACAAGTCTGACATCGGGTTAACA